CGAAGCCAGGCCTGTATCCCTGCAGAGCTATAGCCTTAGCCCCAAATCTATGATATTTAGGCCCAAGGAATCACTCAGTATTTCTAAAATAAGAAAAGTAATTATGGAACTGAACTGAGAAAGCGAACAAAATTAGAGCACTGGTATAACTTAGTGATTTGTGAACACATTTCTAGATAGCCTTTGATTACAGTTTATGGCCAGTGGAAATATAAAGTGACTCTCTCCGAATGCCCTGATTCTGGAGCGTGAGACTGTGACTTGGATACAGGGTCTCCCGGAACTCGTGTGCAGGTGCCCGGTTGGGAGACACTGTGTGCCTTTAAAGGGTGGGGCGTGTGGGACCCCAGCTAGTCCTGTCTCTGGCTTCTCCCTGGCTCATGGTTGGAGCAGTCTCACTAACAGGCAGTCCCCACAATAGCCAGCTGGTGCCTACACCAGAGACCTAAAGAATGGGGCCACCCAGTCTGACTTAGATGGGACAGGAGGAGGTTAATACACCTTTTCTCCTTATAAGCTAATTGCCCCAGGCATTTTGATACAGTAATGCAAAACTGACTGATAGCCATGGGTAATATGGTAGCTTTTCATTGTATGTACCCTTCACATTATGCTTCTGTGGAAATTGTACCAGGCTTGTGGTTAATAGATCAAAAAGGGATTTATTCCCTTGGATTCAAATCAGAATATTAACTGACCACAGGAGAACAAAACATAGGGCTTTGGAGCAGAATGCTGAGTTGGCTCAAGTTCGAATCCCAGTCTGCCACTTCTCAGCCACCAGGGCTTGGGTGAATAAGGCTTTTGTGCTTCAGCACTGTCCCCCAACCCCCAGCCCTTTCTATAAATTGCTTAGAACCATGCTTGGCACATAATATTCTATGAGTATTTGTTTGGTCTGCTTTTGTTTTATTTTTTGTTACTGGGGATCGAACTCACAACTTTGTGCTTGCCAAGTAGGCACTTATGCCACTGAGCTAAACCCCAGCCCTTCTGTATTTGTTAAATAACTCATTTACAAGATAAAAAATGACTTTGACAAACACATGTCCCAAGTTTTCAATTGCACACACACAGATATAAAGCCTGGGTCTTCCAGATAAGAATGTAGTATCTCCCAGTATTGCAAACACCAGAGAGCCCTGACTGGGCATGCCGGCACACATCTGGGATCCCAGCCCTTGGGAGGCTGAGGTAGGAGCATCCCTGTGAGTTCAAGGCCAGCCTGGGCTAGTGAGTTCAAAGCCTGCCTGAACCACATAGCAGAGTCCCTGTTGCAAAAACAAACAAACAAAACAAAAAACCTCAACTCTGATCCTGAATGATCTCCTGACCCAGACTGATTAAACTTCTGCTTACTGGCATGCTAAACTTTGTACCAGGTTTCAGTCAGCAAGGTCTGTTTCACATGCTGGTCTTCAGGAAGGCTGTTTTGCTCACATCTGTACAGATTTCCAGCTCTTTTTTTTTTTTTTTTTTGTCTTTTTCATTTTTATCGGTACCGTGGATCGAACTCATGACCGCCTGCTTGCAAGGCAGGTGCTTATGCCGCTGAGCTAAATCCACAGCCCCCAGATTTCCAGCTTTGACAGAGCACACATCCCACTGGCTTAGGCTGGACAGCCACACTTTCCCCTGCAGATTCTGCATGCAGGAATTCAAACCACCGCAGTAGACAGATACTTGAAGACGATGTTTTTGTAGTGTTGTTCCCTAAACAATACAGCCTAAGAGCGATTTCCACATCATTTAGATTGTGTTAGGGATTGTAAATAATCTACTTTTTTTTTTGTACCAGGGATCGAACTCGTGACCTCAAGCTTGCCAGGCAGGTGCTTGTGCCACTGAGCTAAATCCCCAACCCTGTAAATAATCTAGAAATGAATTTAAGTTCAGGAGAGGATTGGATGCAATTAAATACTAGGCCTTTTTATATTAGGGACTTAAGCAGCCCCAGGTTTTGCTATCTGCGGGGTCCTGAACTGCTTTCCCATGGCTGCACCCCAAGGCATGACTGCGGGCCCTCCTTGTCTGTATCGGGATGGCTGTGAAGCACGGTCTCCAAGCTTTTTACCTCTTAGCTGAATGCTAATAATAAGGCGCACTTTAACGATTGGGGTGATGCTCCGCTCTGCACTGAGCTGCAGGCCAGGTACTTCCCCCAGTGCCTGTTGCTAATGATCAGCGGTCTGGGAATCGAGAGGGACACCAGGCACCAAGTGGCTTCTCGCACATCCACCGTCTCCACCATCGAGCCTGCTGCGACGCAAGGTGGCAGCCAAATCATCCTTAGTTAAGCTACAAATAACACATAGGTGCGGGGCTGAGCATACGGTTCCACGGAGACTGTGTGCCTAGACTTCTGGTTGGATCTCCAGCCCCACAAAACCAAACCAAACTGCACACAGTGTGCTGAGGTCAGGTGGTATTGGGTACTCTAGGCAGCTCATGAACCGTATTAGAAAAGAAAAAGACACACTTTTTCCTTATATGTTGCTAGGTTTTTCTGGTTTTTTTTTTTTTTTTTTGAGACAGGGTCTTGCTATGCAGTTCAGGCTGGCCTTGAACTCACTATGTAGCCTAGGCTGGCTTTGAACTTGCAGCAATCCTCCTGCCTTAGCCTCCTGAGTGCTGGGATGACAGGTGTGCACCACCATGCTAGGGCAGTGACTTTTTTTTTTTTTTTGTCTTTTTCCTGTTTATCAGTACCAGGGATCAAACTCACGACTGCTTGCCTGCAAGGCAGGTGCTTATGCCGCTGAGCTAAATCTCCAGCTCCTTTTTTTTTTGTCTCAGTGACTTATTTTAAAATAGCCTTATGAAGACGCTAACCCTAAAGACATCTAACTGGGCATGGAGTTGATGGCAAGTCTTGGAGAAGCATTTTAAGCTCCTTTATTTCAGCTTCCCGAGTGGTGCTAACTAATCACAGGAAACTTACCTGCTAAACTCAGGCAGCTGCAGTTGGGAGCTGGAATCCACAGGGCGTATGCTGGGCACCAGGGCAGGGGACTCTGAGGCTAAGGCTCCTCTAAGACTAAGGATCCTCCAGCTGTCACCAAACAGAATTCATGCAGAGGCCACGAGTGACGGCTGAGAGCGGAGAAAGATTCAGGACTAAGATGGAAGCTTTCTTATGATAGACAAAGACACTTTGAAGTTTTCCCATGCCTAATGGGCAGAAAGGCATGCAAACAGGGCCTTCGTTCATTCTCTGTGCTAAAAGCACAGCCCTCAAGGACATCAGACTCTAACAGTTTTCATGAAAACAATCAGGATAAAATGTGCGTCAGACACACGCGCACCACAACGCAGTGAGCCCTCAAGAGCTCAAACTCGCGCTCCGTAAGCTCCAGCTCCGCAGAGAAGCTGAACGTGGTCAGCGTTCCCATCCACCCAGTGCCTCGCCCTGGTTTGCAGAAAAAGGATGTTGATTCCCAGAGCCTTTCTCCACCTCCAGCAGTTTCCCTGCAGCCGGGGTCTGTTAACTATTCCTGCCCTGCCTTGGCGAACGATCACAGGGCCGCGACGGAGGAGGGTGGCACAAATGGGTGCACTGTCCCCCCCGCCCCACATCCCCATGCTTCTTCCTAGCCTCATTCTGTCCACCAGAGGACAAAGCCTCACCATGGAGCCGACCAAAAGGCCTGGCTCCGTGATTTCCAGGGCTTGTCTCCTTCAAACCTCTCTTTGCTCAACACTGCACGGCTAAGTGACAAAAGGCTTTTGTAGACTGGTATCCAAACGCTCACTGGAGGCCAGATTTATTTCACTGGAAACTCAGACAGCGCTGGTTTCTTACTATGAAACCAGTTGTTTCTCATTTCCAGTTGAAGACAATTTTCTCACTGGTGTGGTGGCATTAGTGGGTGAGTGAACATTTGAAATGATTCATTTAAAGGTGTTAATTATAGTTAAAACAACAGCAACAAAACCAAATAAACACCATCCTCACCAAGACTCTACAGCTTCCAGGCCAGAAACCAATCCTGAGGCTGCAAACCAGCTGGGCATGGAGGTACATGCCTGTCATCCCAGCATTTAGGAAGGAGGCTGAGGCAGGAGAATCACTTCAAATTCAAGGCCAGGCTGGATTAGTGACACAGTTCAAAAAAACCAAAACAGTACAACTCCAGCTAGCAGGGTTGGATACCACTTGCAAAAAGCCATTTTTCTGAGAAAAAGAGCATAGATAATGAACATTAACCACCTGTCCAAATGTGAAGATTTGGGGGACAAGTCATCTAGTTCTGTACTGAACTGCAAGGCTTAGAAAACAAGACCAGGCTCTTAGGTAGGTGAGCTGCTCTGTCTCAGCCAGCTTCGCGTTATTCATCTCCCATGCAAATGCAGGAAAGTGATCCTGTGATCTCTCTATAAAAACTTCAAGTCCTCTCAGATCACAGGGAACTTCACATTCCTGGAACCCTTCTAGGTGTCAGCATGACATTAAAAAAATTTTTTTTTGTCTTTTTCCTTTTTATCGGTACCGGGGATCGAACTCGCGACAGCCTGCTTTCAAGGCAGGTGCTTATGCCACTGAGCTAAACCCCCAGCCCTGACATTAAAAAATTTTGCTACAAAATAAGCTTCACACACCAGATTCACCATGGAAAAGGGGGGGCGGGCATGGAGTGACGAGAGTTGTTAAAAAAAGCTGCCTCTGACTGGGAAGCCAAGTTTAAGTTCCCACTGCCCCGGCCAGGAGGCAGGGAGTCATGCTGCACGCTTGTAACCCCAGCGCTGGGGAGGCTGAGGCAGGATTGAGTTCAAGTCCAGCCTGAACTACACAGGGAGACCTAGTCTCCCAAAGAACAAAAACAAAACATAAAAACCAAAGCTGTCCCAAGGACTGGCCAGGCGACCACAACTGTGGAGGAGGCAGACATGGGCAGCCACTGCTTTCCATGATTCCCTTGTGGTTCAGTGCACACCAGCTTTCTTCTGACACATTTCCAACCAAAGAGCTTTCTTCCAAACAAAGACCACATGACAGACAGTTTTAATTTTTAAGAATTTTAATACAAACTTAATATAAACTATTTCAGTCCCTCTTAACATGTAAGACACTGACTCAAAATACTTTTATACCGTTTTTTTCAAGTATTGCACAATATAGGTACAAAATTAATATTTACGATTACATTTTCTTCCATAATATATAGCAAAAATCTTTAAACCTTTAACAGAAAATACATTTTTTTTGAAAAAGCAAATATTCGTACATTTTAATTCCACCACGAAAGGAATATCCTGTACACAATTTTGAGAATAGCTGATGTCTTTAAGATGGATATTTTACAATTTCAGTAAAAAAAATACAACATGAAGCTGCTGCTCTCACAGATCACCGTAGTAAAAAGATATAAATGCAATACCATGTCGTAGAAACAATATATATATCCTCTGATATTTTACAAACTTTGTACTAAATTAAATTATACAATTAGAAAAGACCAATAAACCCACTTATTAGTGCCAATTTTTTATAAAAAAAAAAAAAAAATCAGCCATGTCCTTGCTCTATCTTAAATACTGTAAGAGGCCATATCTGAGCGGATACTTTAAAACACACAGTCAGTATAAAATAACTTTGTGCTTGGTTGGCAAATGAAAAATGACACGTTTTATTTTTGTAACCAAGCCTGAATGTATCCTTACTACAAGCTTAAAAGGAAAAAAGAAATCTCAAGGAGGTTTCCAAGGGGGAAAAAAAAAAAAAAAAAAAAAAAAAAAACTCCCCCTTGGGCCCTCATTTGAGCTCCTCCGGTGCTTTTCTCAGGTTTTCTCTTTAGTTAGCCATGACAGGCTGGAATTGCTGGTTAGAATACTGCATGTTATTTAAGCTAAAATTCAAGCCATCGACAAAAGACTTCTCGTTGAGGCCTCCGTAGGCCGCAAACACATCAAAGGCATTGCTGTACTGGAGAGGACTGAGGCTACAGGGGCTGTCACCTGGGAACATTCCATTGGTGCCGCTACCTTGACCCTGCATGTTGGGGAAGATGAATTCCTTGGCATTGGGGGACAGTGCGGAGGTTTTCTGCTGCTGGGGCTGCTGTGGGGGTGGCGGTGGGGGTGGTGGCTGGGACGGTGGCTGCTGCTGCTGTTGCTGCTGCTGCTGCTGGGGCTGCGGCGGCTGCTGCAGTTGCTGGGGCTGAGACTGGGGCTGCTGCGGGCTCCCCAGGCCCAGCCCGTACAGAGAGTGCATGGAGGAGGAGATGGCTTTCTGCTTCAGGAGGTCGCTCACGTTCAGGCCCAGGTGGGTGGGGGACGTGCGCGCCCCCTTGTTGCCCCGGCCGCTGTTCTTCATTTTGGTGGAGCCGAACTTAGTGGCTGCAAAGGTGGCAGTGGTGAAGGTTAAAGGCTGGGTGGAACGGGGCATGAAGGTGGGGCTCACAGCAGCAGAGTGACCAAAGGGAGGCGATGGAGAGCTGGACACGGATGAGGCCGGGTCGCTGATGGGCATGAAGACCTGTGCCTCTGGGTTAAAGCTGTTCTTGATCTCCTTATCCAGCTCACATCCGTTTTCTGTACTGTCGTCCACATAGAGCACTTTTACCGGCCCCTTCTCACCGATCTGGTAGGAGACCTCGAACGGGTCGATCCAGACGCTCAGGTCCTGGGGCAGGTTACCACGCACATCGTCGATGTCCAAGCCGCTCTCCTTGGACGCTTGCTCAATCACTGGGTCCACCTTCTCCCCGACATGGATGCATCGAAACCCTGATCCTTTGTATGGCTTTTCAGGATACCAGTGCCCTTCATATTTCTTCTTAAGAAGTCTTTCGAGTTCTTCACCAAAAATGTTGACACGTCTCCTAGGAAGCTTATTGTACAAATAGGAAATAATAAAATTTAGTGCTACTTGGATTTCAAGCTGCATAGCTGCTATGCCACAAAGTTAGGTGTGTTTCGACTCCTCCACAAGGAAACAAACAAATGGAGAGTGTTCAGGCTGTGGCAGAGAAACAGATTTTCATTCAAAGTGCTGGTATGAGAAGATTCTCCTTCACCTCAAGCGGTCGTGCTCCCTTAAGAAAACAAAAGCAAAAACAAACACGTCCAAGTAAGATAAATGTAGCTCCCACGATCTAATAAAATCAGTACAACATAAAAACGTGTACAATTACAAAACTGCTTATTACAGTTCAAAAGTCTCATGGAAAAATATAGATTTACAGGTAAAACTATTGTTTAGCCCTATTATTTGTTGCTTCTGTGCAGAATTCAAGATCTCCAGAATATGGGTGATTTTTCTTCCCTCAATCCTTACCAAGAATATTTACCAGAAACTACTATGGGCCAATCCCACGTATATATATATAAATGCCACTTTTTTGGAAGTTCAGCATTATTTTTGCTGCTAGTCACCAATTTAGAAGCAAATCCTGTATTTTAGCTCATTTTGGATCTATCTTGTTTAACTCAGATCTACATGAACAATCCTGAAATTTGAGAAGTTAGAAAAATTGCTTTAATTTCCTAAGTCCATGATGCTAAAATTACAGGCACTAAATTCTAAACAACCAATCCCAGCGGCAAATGAAATTAGGAACCCAATTATCCCATACTCTGCCCTACCGTGGGCCCTAAGGGGACACACACGCTGTGCTCCTGGGCTTCTCTTCCTGTCACCGTGTGTTTTTCCAGTTCTTAAATGCCTCCTGTCACAAAAGCAACACTTATTGATTATTCTGTTTAAAGGGCAGGAGTGCTCAGTCTAAGTCGGATTTTAAAAGCCACCTCCCTCCCTCTCCAGATAAAAAAGCGGAGGGGCAGAGGCACACAGGCAAAGGTCGACCTTTAAACGTTTGCTGGATCAGCACTGGGCGGGGATAAGAAAAGACCAAGGGCGAACAGAAGATATTTGCAAAGGATATATGTACACCAAGGTTGATTAAAAAGGGCATTTAAAAACAACAACAACAAACAAGTTGGTGTGAATGGTCTGTTCCATTTTCCATATGGAGCTATATGGTGGTGACAAAGGGAAAAGAATCCCCGGCTGCCCCCCTAAAACTACCAACACTTTCCAAAGCCGAAAACCCAAGGGCCGGTCAAGGCAGCCTATGGAGCGCGACTACGGAAGGCGCAGCCGAGCGAGGTGCGTGCTCGGGGGAGGAAGGTGGTTTGCAAGTAACGCCTTAAGCTGGGGAGCGAGGAATTACATAAACAGCCAGTTTGGATCTCATTAGATTTCTGCTCACAGCGCTGGGAGCCCAAGCGCTACGGCGGCAGCAAGAGAAGGAGGAGGTGGTGGAGGAGGTGGTGGAGGAGGAGGAAGAGGCGGCGAGCGAGCCTGCTCCCTGCGGAGCCGGCAAGGGATCGAGGGCACCGGGCTCCGTGCAGGTCGGGCGCGAGCCGCAGTCGGGTCACCCCCACCCCACCCCCGTAACCCGACCCGCCGCTCCCCGCCCCCTCCTGGGGCTCGGCCAGCGCCCGGGAGCACTGGTCCCCCGCCACCATTTTCGGCCCCGGCGGCCATCGGTCCCTCGGACCCCAGTGCCCTCCGCGAGCGCCCCGCTCCGCCCGGGCGCCCCGACCTCTAGCTCCCGGCACTCGCCCCGGGCCGGGACGATCGATCCGTCCCTCGGGTCCTGGGGACTGCGACCCCGCCGTCCCCGAGTGTCCGAGGCCCGAAGCTCGACGACGCTGCAGCTTCCCCCCGCCCGCCCCCTCGTCTTCAGAGCTCGCACCCCCGCTCCGCGCCCGCCGCCCCGCGGTACTTACGGGCTGCTTTGGGGCCGCGGGCAGCGGGGGCGGGGCGGGGCGGGGGCGCGGAGGCTGGGGCGGCCGGCAGGCCGAGTGCGTGACGCCGCCACCGCGGCAGACGGGGAAGCGAACGGGGCCTGGGTGGGCCTCGGGAGCGCTGGCTCGGGCGGCGGGGACGGGGTCAGGGGAGCGCGCTCTCTTCTCTACACAGCCCGGTGCCTGGCCCAGCGTCCCCGTACTGCGTCCACCTGCGCCGGGCCAGAGCTTGGCTCCTTCTGCCGGGGCGCGCGCCCCGCCTCTCCTTTTATAGGCTCCGCCTGTGGCCCCCCCTCCACCACCACCGTGGGGGCGCGCGCGCCCGCTCGCGTCACACAGCTCGGGGCCGCGAAACCATTCCTCGCCCTCCCAGCCCTGCGCCGGCCGGCTCCGCCCCTGCCCCGCCCCCCAACGCTATTGGCCAAATCCCGCCTGACCGCGTCCTGTCTGGCAGCGCCGGACCGGGAGGGGGGAGAAGGTGACACGGTTCGGAGGGGCTGTAGGCGGGATTAAGAGAAAATTTGGAAAGGGATTGGGGGAGAGACGTGCCAATGGGGGAAAGGGGCGGGGCGGAACCTGACGCTTGCTGGGTGGACTGCGCCGGGGAGAAAGGGGGAGGGGAGCCGAGCAGGTGGCAACGCGGCGGGGGCGGGGGGGGGGACAGGGAGGAGAATCCAAGGCCTGAGAAGGAGGGGAGAGACTGCACAAAATGCCCGACCCGAGCGAGACGTGGCTGAGGAAAATCCTACTCGCGGACAAGCGGGTCTGCAGCCTGCCCCAGAGGAATCCATGGAAAGGGCGGACTGTGACCCGGACGCGTGCGTCCGGGTCACTGAATGTGACCTGCTGCCGCAGGGCGGAGGCCAACGGCCACCCGACGGGGGCAGCTTCGAGACCCCCGGCCGTGCTGGGGGCGGGGACGGGAGGCCGCCTCACCCACCTCGCGCTAGATGGCAGTTTAACTGCCTCCCCGGGCCACCTGGCGGCAACTCGGAGACTGAGAAGAATCGCATTGTATTTCACATATCGCAGCTCGCGCCTTGACAAGATGGCAAGTGCGCGCGCGTGTGCCTCTAGAGGCGCGCATGCTTGTATTTCAGGGCTGGCTGTCACATAGAGCCTTCCTGAGGTGCGCGTGTAAGATAGTTCGGGATTGAACGACGCTCGGGTACCCGGGGAGTAGGCAAAGAAGGGACTCCGAGGGGACGGGTAAGCGCCTTTCCCCCAACCTGCCACCAAGAAACACCCAGAGCTACAGTGGGAGTGGAATCGGGCGTCTGTCTTGGCTAAAAATATTGCTCACAGGTAGCAACGGCGTCTGATTGGCCGCGCCTGTCCCCTAGCAACCACGCGATTGGCTGCCTGGTGTCCAGGAGACGGACGTCAAACTCGGGCTAGAGAAAGAGGAAAGACATTCAGGGGGAGCCGGGCGGAGGGGAGCGGCGATGAATGGAGCGGTCTTCGCAGGCCTCCCCTGCCCCTTTCCCGTCCTCGGCCCTCCAGGAGCACTTCCTGGAAAAACACCAGCGGGGCGCCGCCTTCCCTCCTGACGCCGGGGCCTGGTACTTAACCTGCCCCAAGGAGCCTCGACCGCAGCTCGGCGCGCAGTGGGGGGCGGTGGCGGGCGGTGTAGCCCTCGTCTTGGTCCCAAGGACGCGGAATCGGGCTGTCGCCTCCTCGCCCGACCAAGTCCCGGGCGCTGTCGCCTCCCCCGCTAAACGAAACCTCATTCAGAAAGGATATTGCTAAAAAAAAAGTGCGAGAGGGTAGAGGAGAAGGCTCCTTGCAGGGGGCTGAGGGTGCGGAGTCAGGTGACCGATTGCGTGTTTATTGTACAGATTCCTGAAGCTCGGCAGCGCTTTTGTTTTTTAAGAACATAGAAGTTTTACTCGGTGACTCTTTAAATTCTGACTTATTTTTAGTACTTAAATTTCTCTCTTTTTTTTTTTTTTTGAAATTGTAGACAGAAAAGAATGGGATCAAATTATGAAACTGATAAACGTTTTAAAGTGAAAATATCCCTTCATCTGCATCGAAATATTTTAAAAATTATTCGTACCATGGTTTTGGTGTCCCATAATGAACATTCTGTTTGTAATAAAAATGGGCTCTTTTTAAATTTTATAATTAGTTGAGCACAGAAATGGCAAGAAAGTAGGTAGGATATTTTGGGAACTGCTTAGCAAGAAAAATGCTAGATTTTTTTCGTGCTCCCCAGAAGCATAATTTCTTATCATAGGAAAATAATGTTTTTCTACCAAACACAGAATTCCTTATGTGGGGCCATGTGTCTTGATTCGTAATTTAGAAAATGTATTACTATAATTAGGGGCACATATTAGGCTTATCTGAGATGAAAATATCTTAACTAAAATAGATGAATCATAATTTTGTCAACCTTATCTGTATTTTTAAAGGATTCTCCACAGAGAGACACAAACTTGCTTGTCTGAACGTTCACCAATCTGTAATCCCAGAAAAAAATATGAGTGCCCTTAGCTGGTAGGTACCAATTAAACACCTATAACAGTACACTGAATTTCTAAGTCAGACATTTAGATGTCAAGAATGTAGGAGTGAGGGCTGGGGATGTAGCTCAGTGCCTGCCTGGTACACAGGAGCCCTGAGTTCGATCCCCAGTACCAAAAAAGAAAAAAAAATAATTAAAAGTATATGAGTTATTGCTACTCAATCCAGGAGTTTAAGAGGGTGTTGAGCCCAGTGTGTTTTATTTTATTTTATTTATTTATTTTTGACAGGGTCTCTATGCAGTTCGGGCTGGCCTTGAGCTTACTTTGTAGCCCACTTTGTAGCTGGTCTTGAACTCACAATGATCCTCCTGCCTCAGCCTCCGGAGTGCTGGGACTACAGATGTGAGCCACCATGCCTGCCTCGATTTTTAGTTTTCTTATCTATAAAAAAAATTGGATTAGGTCATCTACAATATCGCTTGGTGGTTGTTTTAAACAGGATCTTGGTTTTGTAATTCAGGCTGTTCTCAAACTCGAGGTAATAGTCCTGCCTCAGCCTTCCAAGTGCTGGAATGATAGGCATGTACCAGCATGCCCAGCTGTAGTATCCCTTTCATTTAAAAAAAAAGTCCACATTTAAAATTTGACAACAAGGGCTGGGGATTTAGCTCAGCAGTGTAAGCACCTGCCTGGCAAGCGCAAGGTCGTGAGTTCCATTAATAGTACCAAAATAAATAAATGAAGTAAAATAAAATTTGACAACATCCCATACAGTGACCTCTAATCCTAGCACTCAAGAGACTGAGGCAGGATTGCTTCGGGTTCTGGCTAACCTGGGCTACCTAGGGAGTTCAAGGCCAGCCTGAACCACATAGTGAGAACTTATCTTCAAAAACATACATAGGTACATAAATAAGTAACTGATGCCTCTAAGAAATCATGTAACTCTTTTTCAAAGTGAATGGCAAATAAAAGGGAAAAGAGATAACTGTCTTTTGAACATTGGCAATCACAAGGTACAAAGTGTCTTTTATGTAAAGTTTGTACTTCAAAGAACCCCTTGGCCGGCTAATTGCTATCTAACATTTTGGAGTGCGCATGGGAGTGGATCTGTAAATGCTCACATAGCTCAACAGAAGAAAAGAGTTTGACAGGAGGCTCCAGGCAGAGACGCATCATGCATCACTCCTGAGAGATTTCCTCCCTCCTGAGCAGAGGTGGGGTCCCCAGATACCCAGCTGTGCCATCACCACCTGGCAACCTGCAGCAATCCTAGAGGGGACCCGGACAGGAAGATAAGCGTTACTGGTAACAAACAACTTCTAGCATCATGGCAAAATATGATTCTTAAAAGTGTGCTGAATTGTTACCTCACAAACACTAGCGTGCACAGTTTTGATTTCAGGGAGGGATCAGTCCTGGCCTTAAGTGCTGTGTATTACTAAGCTTTATTTCACTTCTAGGGAATCAACCTTTATTTGAACCTTTATTTGAAAATAAGGCAATCAGCCAGGTGTGGTGGTACACACCTGTAATCCTAGCACTTGGGAGGCTGAGGCAGGAGGATCACTGTGAGTTTGAGACCAGTCTGGATACATAGTGAGACCCTGTCTTCAAAAAACCAAAAACAGCCCAGTGGCAACATGCAAGTGTGTTACTGTTATCCATTTCTTCTTAGACAGCCATGCCACATACACTATAGCATGTATATCTCTGATTTTTTTAAGAAGTATAAACAAATGACTGAATTTTTTTTTTTTACACTTTTTTTTTTCCTTTTATCAGTACCGGGGATCAAACTCACGACCGCCTGCTTGCAAGGCAGGCGCTTATGCCGCTGAGCTAAATCCCCAGCCCCCCCGAATGACTGAATTATTAAAAACCATGTACACCATACTTTCCCAGCATTTCCCAAAGGTAGGCCTACACCTGTGTCCGAGGAACCCTGAGCATGATTTCCTGGGGCTTCTA